CTGTTCTGTTGTTCTCCCAGGCTCAATCTGTGAACACATACACTGCGATCAAAAAGACACAGATGTCTTTGAATTGGGTTAATACATAGAAATGCACACATCCCCAATTCTGGCTAAGGAAAAAAGCACAAGACAAGAACTGTTCAAATGAGCACAGACTTAGAGTGTCTGAGGCCCCAAGCGCAGCTCTGACATTCCTGCTTTTGGGAAACAGCCTGTAGAAACTTGGGGTTGCCGGTCTTAAGAGCTGCGCAGCAATACTTGTTCAACAGGCTGGCTTCCTCCCGTCTCACCCACATGCAGGATCCTTCCAGCATGAAGGGAGCCCAAGCCTCAGAACAAGCCTCAACATGCCAGGGCTCCAGGTCAGCTGACACACTGCTCCTGACGGAACATCCAGCTCAGAATCCTCACTGCCCACAGGAAGGCTCCTCCCCGCTCTGCTAGCCAGACACCTCTTCTGGCCCTTCATCCCAGAGCAGCCGTCTGACCACCCATACACTCCTACCCAGCCCACCCGAGTTCCACCGCATCCAGAGGAAGGAGCTCCAACCTCAAAGGGAGAGCAAATCCTACACCTGTGCGTGTGCCCCACGTCAAGTATCCCCCAGGTTAAAAGTGGAGAAAGAAATTCCAAGTCCTCTTTACCATCGCCACCATTACCCTGCCAGACCTTCACCACCCTTCTCCGAACTAATGTCCTAGGCAGTGGTTCTCAACCTTCCCAACACTGCGACTTTTTATGGGTGACCCCGAACCATAAAATTACTTTTGTTGCTACTTCATAACCTATAATTTTGCTACTGGTATGAATCATAGTGTAAATATCTGTGCCTTCCAATGGTCTCAGGTGACCCCTGTGAAAGGGTGCTTTGACCCCCAAGGGGCCTCTCTGTCCTAGGCCAAACATCCCACCTGTTCTTCCCACAATATCACCTCAAGTTCCCACTCCCAGGGATCCCAAGCCCAACAAAACCTTCCAACACTCCTCAGCTTACTCAGCGCAACTCCAGCCGCAAAAATGCCTTCCTGGTACTGCCATTCCCCTAGTCTTGCTGTTCCAATGGTCACTCTTGGTCCTTCATCCCTCCATACCCTCATCCTTCTCTGCCTTTCTTGTAGAACTGAAGGGGCAGTGGCAGCAAAGGCACAGCGCTCAGTGTTAGCTGCTCTTACATGAAGGTCTCTGGGCCTACACTGGCCCCTGCTTACCCCCAGTTTACACGACACTTCTCCAAAGACAGCAAAATAGTGCAGATCTGTTCCATTCTCCGTAACTACCTCCTGAGTCCACCCAGATTTCAGAACCTCCGCCCATACATCCTCAAACATTCAAAGGAAAAAATAAAACCCAAAGTAACCTGGAAGTGAGTTTTTGCCGCTTGTAGTCCTCGATAGCATTGCTGTTCCCAGTGATGAAAACAATCACAATTCACCACTTATTCATCCTGGGCAAGCAGGAAGCAGGGAACTGACCGCTGCCGCAGACACCTCTCACACACGGTGTTCTGAACACAGCCTTGTAGACAGAACTCCACAGTCTGTTTCTAAGGATAGGACTGAGGCCCAGCTCACAGGAGGCAACACTGGTCAATGAACATGGGAAACACCCCAAAACTTAGTGTTCTAAGCTTTAATTTATGGTATCCTTCAGGCACCTAAGGCTAGAAATAAATTTCTCTGAAGAATATACATTGTCTTTCAGTTCACTTTTTCATACTCCACCTTTTGTGGTGGTGGCGGGTAACGTGAGATTCGAGGGTGAGTGTTGAGTATCTGGGTGCCCACGCCTGGGCTCACCACCCAGAGGCCACAGGAGACGCCGCTCTGTCACCCCTGCCCTATTCCTCCAGATCCAATCAATCTGGAGCTAGGCTGGAGGCCAAGTTCCAGTGGTCCTCCTGCCTCCAACCTCACAGAACAGACACAGCTAATCCGGCTTCTGCTGCAAGTGCTGGGGATCTGAACCCACGTCCTGATGCTGGTTAACACAGTAAGCACTCTTAGCTGCTGGGCTACTCGCCAGCACCTCAGGAGACTCGGTTCAGCCACAGCAGCCTAGTCCTGTCAGAAAGATTACAAAAGCCAGAATGTAGCCTCAGAAAGTGATCTTCCTAGAAACCTCCCTTTCATTTCTGCTCCCCCCACCTAAAATCAGCCACCTGTCCCATGCTGTTCCTACAAGACGTCGGGGGGGGGGGGGGGGGGGGGGGGCTCAGGAGGTGAACAGAGTGTTGTGGAGCAGGCCTGAGGATGGGAATTCTGATTCCTGTCAGCCAGGGGGACATGGTGACCCTCTGTAAACCCAGCATGGGGGAGGAGGAAGAGGAGACCCAGGACAGGCAACTAGCCAATCCCACCACAATGCACAGGTAGAAAGCACTCAAGGACAACACCCAGCACCATCATACTTGGGCCTCCATATTCACGTGCACCCAACACGCATGCACACCTGCATACATACCCATACATGGGGGTACACACCACACACACACACACACACACACACACCCCACATACATACACATGAAAAACAGAAAAGACAACACGGAAATAAATTAGGACTCTAGGTCGGCCAGTTCACGTTTTACCTGAAAATGTTCTTCTTAAAATTTGTCTTCATAAATTGTTAACAAATTCCACTATCAACAACCTAATACCAAAACCACCCCATGCCAACCAATAAAACTGCTAACTAAACCTTCCTGCGAGGCGGTACCGGATCCTGAAAGCAAACGTCCAAAAGAAAAGGGAAACAGATGCCAGTTCCAGGAGAGTCGAGTCCTGGTGCCTAGTCATAGTCTTCCGCTTGAGACATGTACGGAAGCAGGCAAGGCGCAGCAAAGAAAACCTGACGTGTGTCTAAGTGTGGAGTCACACACTGATAATGTTTAAAAGATCTTTAAAATGAAACCCGGAGTGCTTATCGATTAAATTATTTCAAGAAACACTACAGGAAGAACATAGATGACAGAAAAATGAAGGTGGGCTCTTAACTGAGCCCTAAAACCTCCTTAGAGATGGGGAGACAGGGGACTGCCTGTGAGTAAAACCGTAAGCTCTGCTTTGTAATCGGTCACAGGCAACTTTTACACGGAAACCCTAACAGATTTGCACAGGGCCCTCTTCAACCTCAGGGGTGTAGTTAGTGCGTCCCTAAACACTCCCCAAAAGCAGTGATTTGCACATCTACCTCACAAGCCTGGAGGGAGTAGGGCGGGGCAAAAGAATAGGGGGAACAACAAAGCACACGCCCAAAGTGACAGCGCAGAAGGCCCACAGCTCAGAACCGGGTAAATCCCAGCTGGCCTCACTACCCAGCTTCCACGCTGACCGGGACACACAAACAATCCCACTACTGTGGAACCAGGTCAGAAACAGCTCTGGCTAACTCACTTGGAAAAGTCTACTCACCACTTAGATTTGGCCAGAGAAACTAGGTTAGGGGAAAAAAAAAGAAAACAGTGCTTAAACAAACAGAGGCGCGGGGAAGAATGTCTTTAAGCCAGTTACCAGCCACTCCGTGAGTTGCAACACAATCTTTTTTTCCAAAATTTTCCAAGGCCTTCCAAATGCAGTTGAGCCCAGCAGGCTGTTAACAGGGCTCCCTTTCAAATTCAAAAAGCTGGCCCCAGCCCCAACAGCTAACCAACAAAACATGCTAATTCACTTGAGATCACCCAATAACGCTGCCTCAAGTTCAGCCACAGGCCTGTCAATACCACCATCCAGGCCGCGGTGGGGGAAGGGGCAACAGGCAGAGGCCCAGGGAAGCAATGGGGGCACATAACCCCTATTCATGGAGCAGAAGGCGGACAATGGAACCCACACTTAACTTGGCCTCAGAAAACGTCTACAGCCGGCTTCCACCACCCCCATTTTTAGGGAAACAATGACAATTCTTCATGGTGAGCCACAAAGCCCTCCTTCAGAGGATAATTTTTCTCGTAGCTCAAACCTGACCCAGTCCTAACAACTAGAAAACTCCCCTAGTGAAGAGGGTTCCAGAAAACGTCTGATGACAAGAACGAAATCAAGGAAGAGAATTTAAGAATGCAGAGGGGATTTTTTTTGTTTTTTTGTTGTTGTTGTTGTTGTTGTTGTTCTGTTTTGTTTTTCCACTTGGGAGCCTGCCCCTTCCAGAATATGCACTCAACAGAATGAACACCACAGTTAGTCACCCTGGGCGGCAGCTGCTCAGCAGTGTCCAGATTCCTCAGCCTCATCTGCAGCTGGGACAGGAGGATGCGATCAAGGAAAGACCCGGGGTGGTGGGGGTAGGCCTCCTCTCCGCCCCTCACTCCCGTCCTGTCTCAGTTACACAGCTGTCACACAGGTTATTCCTGGAATTCACATTTTCTAATCCCCACACTGTAATTCCTGCTGCTCCCGAGGCCCAAACACACCCACACACACACACATACTCCTCTCGGCTTCCCCCCAAAACGCTGCCCACCAGAAGAGGGTAGGCTGGCCAGGGCGTTGAAAGCAGTGCCAGGTAACTCCACTCTCCTCACGCTCAGTGCACTGGCACGCGCTCCTGAGGGCGATGACAATTTTCAAGCAGATCGAGGCAGCGGTCGAGTGTAATCACAAGCAAGGCCTGTTTCCTACATTGACTTTTAATTCACACACGGATGCAAACGCACGGAGGCCGGACTTGGAGGAACAGGGAGGGGGCGGCGGGGGAGAAAGGGGGAGACCCTCTGCCCGCGTTCGGACCCAAAATTCCTCTTCTATTTTGCTGAAGCCGAGTGCATGCCTAACAGCGTAGCTTATTTCCTTTATCTCAAAGCCAGGAAATGAGGTCCTTTAAGGCCAGTCTGAGCGCAGGCGAAGAAGAAAGAAAAACAAAAACCAGAAAACAAAAGGCAGGCGCAAGCCCTTTCCCAACTTTGGCCGGGCGGCCTGGCCTCCCGCGAGCAGCGCACCGTCACCCTTCCCCTCGGCCCCCAAGAAGTTTGTCCACGCCACGGGGAACAAAGGCGCCCCACACCAACCTTATAGACTTGTCCGTAGGTGCCATTTCCAACCACTTCCACCAGCTCGAAAATCCCAGCAGGGTCCTGGGGAGACAGGAGGGCGGGGGAGGTGAGCGCTGGAGAAGGGGGGACCCCAGATGGAGCCGCCGGGCGGGGCGCGGGCACGCGGGGCGGTGACAAAGGCTCGCCCTCCACCCGGTCCCCGCCGGCCCGCGCCCCACGCCCGCCCGCCCGGCAGACAAAGGCGCCGCCGCGCCCCGGGTGTCCGTGTCCCCCCCGCGGAGCCAGGGGCGCGGCCGCGCTCACCCGCAGGGACGAGAGGTCGATGTCCACCAGGCTCTTGGCGGGGGAGTCGTTCGCCATCGTGCCCCGGGAGCGGCGGCCGCGGCCGGGGAGCTCCGCGGCGCCGGGGCTCTGGCCGCACGCGCAGGCCGCCGGCGCGTCCTCGGAGCGCGGGCGAGCG